TCAATGTTTCTCTCTCATCGATGTTTCTAACTTCCCTATCCCTCTCCCTTCCTCTCTGTAAAAAATCAATAAAATATATTTAAAAATAAATAAATAAATAAATAAATAAATAAATAAATAAGGGCACTTGGCAGATGGGATTAAGTTCAGGATCTTGAATTGAAACAATCCTGGATCATCCAGGTGAGACCAACGTCATGACAAGGGTCCTTATAAGAGGAAGTGGAAGGATCCGAGTCAGAGAGACATAAGGAAGGGTGCAGGGTCAGAGAGGAGAGGAGGTGCTGGTGTTGAAGATGGAGGATGGTGCCACTAGCCAAGGGATGCAGGTGGCCTGAGCAGCGGGGAAAGGCAAAGGAAAGGATTCTCCCCTGGAGCTGCCGGAAGGAGCCAGCCCTGTGGACCATGTTGGACTTCTGGTCTCCAGACCTGAGAGACAATACAACTGTCTTGTTCTAAGCCACTCAGTTTGTGGTGCTGGGTTACGGCAGCCACAGGGCACTAATACAACGATCCCAGGCCGTGTAGACGGATGGCCGCTGAAGCAGGACCCCAAGCCTGCAGGGGGATTTTCCCAGACCCCCTGGCCACTTTTGTGGTTGTGAGGACACACGAGCAGGCCGTTATAGCAGGACCCTAAAGGCTTCATGGCAGGGCTCGGGCTGGGTAGCTTAGTTGGTTAGAGCATCGTCCCGATGCACCAAGGTTTTGGGTTTAATCCCCGATCAGGACACACACAAGAAGCAACCAATGAAAGAGCAGAACAATTCGATGTTTCTCTCTTTCTCTCTCAAATCTGTAAATTATTTTTATTTTTATTTATTTTTCTTTTTTTTTTAATTTTTATTTGTGTTTTTTTTTTGCTAAAAGTATTACAAAGGGTATTACATATGCGTCCTTCCCCCCGCCCCCCGCCCTTGACAATCCCCTGCCCTCCCTTACCCCCCAGTGTCTTATGTCCATTGGTTATGCTCATATGCATGCATACAAGTCCTTCGGTTGATCTCTTACTCCCCTCCCTCCTGCCCCCCAACCCTCCCTGGTCTTCCCGCTGCAGTTTGACAATCAGTTTGAGGCAGCTCTGCCTCTGTATCTATTATTGTTCAAAAGTTTATAATGGTCTTTACTATCCATGAATGAGTGAGATCATGTGGTATTTTTCCTTCATTGACTGGCTTGTTTCACTTAGCATAATGCTCTCCAGCTCCATCCATGCTGTTGCAAATGGTAAGAGTTCCTTCTTTTTTACAGCAGCATAATATTCCATCATGTAGATGTACCACAGTTTTCTAATCCATTCATCTACTGATGGGCACTTAGGCTGTTTCCAGATCTTAGCTATGGTGAATTGTGCTGCTATGAACATAGGGATGCATATATCCTTTCTGATTGGTGTTTCTGGTTTCTTGGGATATATTCCTAGAAGTGGGATCACAGGGTCAAATGGGAGTTCCATTTCCAGTTTTTTGAGGAAACTCCATACTGTCTTCCATAGTGGCTGCACCAGTCTGCATTCCCACCAGCAGTGCAGAA